ATGAAAAGGATATGCAAATCGCTGAAATAAGTCTCATTACTTATGGAATTGTAGAATTAGACCCAATGCTCTTTTGCCCTGGATTTATTGAGTGATTATTTAATATAAATATATTTCAGCATGTGTCTAAAACATGAATCCAACATAAGAATGTAAATCCAGGGGCTAAATTGTATATGCAACGCAGAGCTGACAAGGCTTTCAAACACCATTGTATTCAGAGACTCCTACAGGCAGTCTCATCTACAATGCATTGTTGAATCTAGCTATAAACAAATAGTTTACTGTTTAAAGAAGGTGGTCATCAGGTCTAAGGTCACTTTCATTTGCTAATAAGGGTTTGTTTGAAATTCCCATTCACAACATACACAGTCAGAGACCCAGGATTGAACAGAGCTGTTTGTCAGAACAATAAGGTAATCCTGTAGGTTTCTTATAGCTGCATCTCTTTAACAGGTAAGTTTTATAGCACAGGAGAACACTTGTGATGACCATCACAACAGAAGCAAACTCCCTGAACCTTGGGAGATTCATTCTACTTCACAGTAAAGAACACAATGGAAAACGTTGCCTCATTTTCATAAGACCCATCCGTGCTGCTTGCCTGTGGCATGAACAGCATGTGGACTGGTGCTGAGTATAATCCAAAAAGGCTTTGATCAGCAAATTCATGTGTTCTGTGTCACTGTTACGCTAGCTCTGATGGGTTTGTCATGGAGCACCTCCTAGTGCCTTCTCAAATCAGAGCAGTTTGTTGATGTCACTTTCCTTTAGTGTGTTCATCAACTTTAACTTTACTTAATATTGTGAAAGCTGCTCATGGTAGAAATTAGAACTAAGACCCCATGTTCACTTCATCCAACTGCTTGTGGCTCCCTAGGCAGGGGCCAAAAAGCACTATTTGGATGTTAGCACAGAAACCCCTTATAACCAACCGCCCTATATGTTCATTTTGTGAATGTGTGAGAGAGAAACTGTGACCAACATTCAGAAAAGGTTCTGAAATGTATTTTTGAAAGCAGACCTTATAAAAGCACGTGCCAGCTGTTAGGACTGATGTCTCAACATTTCCCAAGCATCAATCCAAAACAGTGGCCTCAACATGCCTGTTAGGCCATCAGGAATTCCACATTTTTCCTGTGTTGGCACCACAGGAAAAAATAAAAAAAGAATCTGAGCCAATATACGACTGTGTTTTTAACAAGTTTTAACCAACCAAAATCTCAACCCTGTGCATAACAGATGAGTGTTTTAACATGAGACCACCAAAATGCCATACCACTGGCTCTGTAAAATGATGGAGCGCTAGGAATTCTCCAAATATATTACTGGTATTTCAAAAACACACCTGCATTAACTTATTATTGAACTATTTTATGTTCAACAGGATCCTAAAATCGACTGTAGACTTGGTTTCTGAAAAATCTGTTCTGCTTTATCTTATCTAAACTTTATTGGGGATCCAGAGGGATAGAATTCCTTTCCAATATCATAGAATCTAAAGACTGGAAGAGACCACAGGAGGTCATTGAGTCCAGCTCCCTATCTGAAGCAGCACCAACCCCAACTAAATCATCCCAACCAGGGTTTGGTCAAGCCAAGATTTAAAAATCTCTAGGGATGGAGATTCCACCATCTCCCTAGGTAACCCATCCCAGTGCTTCACCACCCACCTAGTGAAATAGTTTTTCCTAATATCCAGCCTAGACCTCCCCCACTGTAACTTGAGACCATTGCTCATTATTCTGCCATCTGTCATCACTGAGAACAGCCTCTCTCCATCCTCTCTGGAACCTCCCTTCAGGAAGTTGAAGGCTGCTATCAAATCCCCGTCTTGCTCTTCTCTTCTGCAGACTAAATAGGCCCAAATCCCTCAAGGTATGTCTGCACTACAAAGTTAATTCGAACTAACGGACGTTAGTTCGAATTAACTTTGATAGGCGCTACACTAGCGCTCCTCTAGTTCGAACTTAATTCGAACTAGTGGAGCACTTAGTTTGAACTTGGTAAACCTCACTGTACGAGGACTAAGCCTAGTTTGAACTTACTAGTTCAAATTAAGGGGTGTGTAGCCCCTTCATTTGAACTAGTGGGAGGCTAGCCCTCCCCAGCTTTCCCTGGTGGCCACTCTGGCCAACACCAGGGAAACTCTATTGCCCCCCTCCCGGCCCCGGACCCCTTAAAGGGGCACGGGCTGGCTACGGTGGTAAACCTCACTGTACGAGGACTAAGCCTAGTTTGAACTTACTAGTTCAAATTAAGGGGTGTGTAGCCCCTTCATTTGAACTAGTGGGAGGCTAGCCCTCCCCAGCTTTCCCTGGTGGCCACTCTGGCCAACACCAGGGAAACTCTATTGCCCCCCTCCCGGCCCCGGACCCCTTAAAGGGGCACGGGCTGGCTACGGTGCCCGTGCCAGGTGCAAGCCTGCCAGCACCCAGCTAGCAGACCCTGCACCTGGCACACCTCGAGCCGGCCAAC